ACTAAATATATAAATAAGTATATACCAAAAACGGCTGCATTATTTTTTTCATTAAAGCTTTAAAATCAACTTTTCACATTTGCTTGTTTTATTGTTATTTTCTGAAGATTTTATGGGGTTTAAAATAATGATAAATTCAAATTAATACCTCACACACATAATGGAAGTGCTTTTGAAATGTACTAAATCATATTTAGTTACTTTAACTCAATTGTTTAAGTACTTGTTAAGACAAAAACGGTTGTTTTATTTTTTTCAGTGTAGTCAGCATAGTTTCTGTAAAAAGATAAAGTTCACCCACAGATTTCAGCGTGTCGTGCTAGGAAGAGGGAAAGCATGGGAATGTAGTTTTTCACCGTTTAGGAGAATCTGTTAACTATCCATCAACATAGATCAGGTTACACTGACAGGCTGGTTCCACACTACTGGTCACCGCTTTTACTGACAGGACAGTTTTTCTTTTTTTCAGTGTTTATGGATTCACTTTCTCTATTTGTATATTTTTTTTTAACGTCTCTGAATGGGTTATGATGCAGCACCCAATTAAAAAAATATTTGTTTATTTATTCCCTTATAAAACCCATCCGTTTATTTATAAAAAAAAAATATATAGAAAGGAAACTTTACATGGAAAAACTTTTATTCATAGTAAAAACACAACAAACAGCATGTAGATACACCTTACAAACTCATTTTTGTTGAAAAATGTTTTTTTTTTACCAACAAACCAACAATCAGGTGTAACGAACCACAAGATGTGAGCATATATTTATATATATATATATATTAAAAAAAAACACAACTGCCACCTTTATATTACACTCCATGACTGTAAATCAATCCAACTGTTGCAGCACTTAAATGTCAGTAAGTCTGATCATTACTTGTTTACAATTTTGATACCACTGTAACTTAACTACCCGTCTAAATGTGCTGTCTGTGCATTACCATCAACGATACGGCGAGGAATGGCGTCATGTCAGCAGATCAGAGCCGGGCCGGTTAATAATGACTCAGCTCTTACAGAGATATATCTGAAATAAAAGCTGACGGGACTTGATAGTGAGGAAAGAAGCATTTTTTTTTTCTTTTTTTACGGTTAGACAATGAAAGGCGGCTACACCTGACTCAGCTTTTCCTGTGGGAACCGAGCCATGCTGAGATACAGTCACGTGTTACAGCATCCTCACCTGTCTATGTCAGCAAAACTTTTTTTTTTCTTTTTCTGTTTTTTTCTCAGAGCCAAAACTAACAACCAGGCATTTTAAACGTCCTTCCAATTAACGTCTCCTTAAACCTCTGTGCCCTCACGATGATAGATGATTCCAGTGGAGCTCAGAGAGGGGTAGAAATGCCCACTGGATCCGTTATACTGGCTCAGAATGGGGCTAGAGTAACCTAGAGAAGAGTGGGAGGGTGAGGAAGTGAGCACAGAGGGAGCTGGCACCTGTGGCAGCCACTCTGACACACCTGAGTTTGGGGAGTAATTGCTAAAGCTTCCTGGCTGGGTGGGTCTATGCGTTCCGTCTAAGGGGAGGTTAATCTGCAGCGGCCTGCTCAACCCGTCTCCGCCGACCTCGTTCGTCGCTCCAGTGGAAACCGTAGACATTTCAGACAAGAAGCTGCTGAGGCATGGCGTGGGACCCGATAGAGAAGGGGAGGGGATTCTGTCCGGCGTTGGGGACATGGTAAGCGCAGGGTGTTTGGGGCTTCCCCGCTCGCTGTCTCCTGACTCCGGAGGCCCTGAGGCGCCGTCTCCGTTGGCGAGGGAGTCAGACTTTCTCTTCCTCTTGCGGCGGAAGTTTCCATTGTCGAACATCTTCTCGCAGTTGGGGTCAAGTGTCCAGTAGTTGCCTTTACCTAATGGGTGAGATTTAAATATGAAATAAGAGGTTACACTCATCCCCCACTGGTTAGCGTGAACTTTTCAAGCACTACGATAAAGACTCGATAGGATCTTATTGTGTTACCTGGATCATCCTCGTCTCTTGGTACTTTCTTGAAGCAATCGTTGAGCGACAGGTTGTGTCTGATGGAGTTCTGCCAGCCGGCTTTACTTTTGTTGTAGAAAGGAAAGTTATCGGCAACATACTGGTATATCTGGCTCAGTGTCAGTCTCTTGTCTGGAGCTCCGTGTATCGCCATGGCAATTAGAGCAGAGTAGGAATAAGGGGGTCTGACCAGCTTCATCAGATCTTCCTGTGAGGGAAGTGAGAACCAGCTCAGTTCCCCTCCTGGACCTCCAGGTCCAGCTGGTCCCAGGTAGGGTCTCTGTATGCCATAGTGCTGAGGGACAAATGGTGGGCCTGGATTACCAGGCGGACCGCTGCTAGACAGGTACGAGGAGGAGTTGATCCCAGAGCTGTTGAACCAAAGGTATGGGTTCGGAGATGAGGTTGCATAGTCGCCCAGTTCGTACGAGGAAGGGGTGGTGCGCTGAGGACTCGGCAGGGAGGGAGGAGGGTAGTAGCATTCACCGTACATGCTGAGCTCCGGAGGTTCCTGGCCCAAACTTGGAAACTGGGGGCCGCAGCGAGGTGGAGACTGGCTCTGGGTCTCAAACGAAGACATCGTCACGTTTTCTTTCCACCTCTTAACCTCTTCTAATCTGTCCTTTTTTGTCAAATTCTTTATGATTTCCTATCAGTTCCTGAAAGTCTCACCTTTGCAATTCTCAAAAACCCCCAAAAATAAATAAATAAAATACTAACTACTTATCCAAATAAAGATCTTTTAGCTTTAAAGTTGCAGACCTCTCTAATCCTTCCTTGACTGTTTGTCCTTGCTCTATGACAAGGTGTCACCTGTCACACTGACTATATCTCCTCTCTTGGTCCGCCCCCAGTCTATCTCCATTGGTGCTTTCCTAAGGTGAGAGGTCTTTGTGTTTCTCTCAACTTTTTTGCTGTCGTCAGCCAATTCAGTCCCCTCAGGGGATTTTGTTCCCTCTCACTTAAATAATTTTCCACTCAGATAATAGACTAGCTTCAACTCATTATGGTTATCATGTATAGTTTTCCTTTTCATGTTAGAAATATACAAGTTGAAAACTTGTATATTTCTTTTATTTTCTTTTTTTCTCATCTTTTTTATGTCTACATAGTATTTTCCTACCGATCAAAAAATAAATTAAACTTTTCTAGATATTCAAAATAATTCAGATTGCTTTTCAACACAATGTGCTCCTCCAACTTTAGAAATGTATTTAAGCTCATTTGATTATTCATGACCATTTCACTACAGCAATGGTTTCTGATGAAGCACAGATGTCAAACCGATGCAAAGTATAACTTCACATGATGCTCCATGTTCCTTATTTTAGGGAAGAAAGTTATTCTTCTAAGAGTTATTATAAAATACAACTTGTTTCTCGTAATGTTACGACTTTATTCTCGTAATTTTATGACTTTATTCTGGTAATTTTATGACTATTGTTGTTTTGACTTTTTTCTCGTAATGTTACAACTTTATTCTCATAATTTTCTGACTTTATTCTGGTAATTTTATGAGTATTGTTGTTTTGACTTTTTTCTCGTAATGTTACAACTTTATTCTCATAATTTTATGGCTTTATTCTTGTAATGTCACAAATTTATTCTCGGAATTTTATGACTATTCTCGTATTGTTACGACTTTATTCTCGTAATTTTATGACTTTATTCTTGTAATGTCACAAATTTATTCTCGGAATTTTATGACTATTCTCGTATTGTTACGACTTTATTCTCGTAATTTTAAAACTTAATTCTCATAATTTTCTGACTTTATTGTTGTAACTTTACGACTTTATTCTCGTAATTT